TCTTGGGCTCAAGCAATCCTCCACACCCAGCTAACTTTTTTCTGTTTTTAGTAGAGATGAGGTCTTGCTGTTACTCAGGCTGGTCTTGAACTCCTGACATCCAAAGATCCTCCTGCCTTAGCCTCCCACAGTGCTGGGATTACAGGCGTGAGCCACTGTACCCAGCCCTGGGCCAGCATCTCTATGAAATGTGGCTCAGGAAGAGACAATACTCGTGAGTGTACAGCTAGGAACTGCCTAGGGGTGGATGGTGGAGGAAACCGTGCCAATGAGTCTTATAATTTAGAGTCAGAAAATCGTTAGGTTTTATTGCTAAGAGCAACCTGACAAATTCCTGCCCCACATTTTATAGATATTCAACTTCGGGCTTGTTGCTTATAGTGAATTATAGTAAAATCATACTGGGGACTCAAGACTCCAAAATGCTGACCTGAGCCCTCCCTCTGGAGGGACATGCCAATTCAATGAGGAAATTCTAGACAATCATGTCACCTGAATGCCGGGCAGGCCCTAAGGAGTTTGAGATACCCACGTCGTTTGGCCATTCTGCTTCTTCCAGCGTGTCTGTGTCCTGGCCCGTGGGGTCCCATGGGTCCCGTGGTCCTGTTGCAATGGAGCTAGGCCCTGCCCTGCTTGACTCCTCTCAGTGACTTCAGCTTTCCCGAAAAACATTGGGAAAAGGCACTGTGACACTCTTTAATAATTTTTTAAAACCTAATTCAAAACTGGGTTCTCAAAAACCTAAACATTTTCTGAATTTTTTAAAGATGAAAGTAATCCATCTGGGCATGGTGGCTCACACCAGTAATCCCAGCACTCTGGAAGGCTGAGTTCAGGAGTTTGAGACCAGCCTGAGCCAGAGTGAGATCCCATCTCTAAAACTAGCAGGGCGTTGTGGCAGGTACCTGTAGTCCCAGCTACTGGGGAGGCTGAGACAAGAGGATTACTCAAGCCCAAGAGTTTGAGTCTGCTGTGAGCTATGATGCCATGACACTCCATCCAGGGTGACAGAGTGAGACTCTGTCGCAAACAAACAAAAAAATGATAGAAGTATATAGGATTATGGGTAAATTAAAGAGAAAACCATTACAAGAAAAAAATAAAAATAATTTTAAAAAGAGAAAACCATTACATATCATTTTGATAATATTCTGTAGACTGTACACACATAGACGCGTGCATATAAGGCCATCTGTGTCAACTTTGGTGATTGCATAAAAACACCAGGGGCCTTTACAGGCCATGTGCATCTCAGGTTTCGTCAGGTGACCCCAGCCTGCCCTGCTTGTCCTTTGTTCTTCAGATGAACTCCTTGAACACCACTAACTCCACAGGGCCTGACGGCACCAAAGCCATGATGACTGACAGTCCCAGGAAGAAGGACAATCAGGGTGCGGATGACAATTTTGTTTTAAAAACATGATGGGGCTCGGCGCCTGTGGCTCAAGTGGCTAAGGCACCAGCCACATACACCTAAAGTGGCAGGTTCGAATTCAGCCTGGGCCCACCAAACAATGACAGCTGCAATCAAAAAAATAGCCAGGTGTTGTGGCGGGCACCTGTGGTCCCAGCTACTTGGGAAGCTGAGGCAGGAGACTCGCTTGAGCCCAGGAGTTGAAGGTTGCAGTGAACTGTGATGCCACAGCACTCTACCCAGGGGGACAGCTTGAGGCTCTGTCTAAAAAAAAAAAGAAAAACACATGATGGTAAAATTATGTCACAGGTGCACATGGAATATTCCTAAATTCCCTCTAGGCATGTCGTGCTGTGTCAGTTAGCAAGAGTGAGACAGAGACCACCAGAAAGGGCAAGAAATCTAGGGGTGTGGCGTCAGTGTCAGTGAGTGGTGATAGCACAGCATTTCTGCAGATCTAAGAGATCCTTTTTATTTTACTTCTTAATGTATCCAAAGTCAGAATATTTTGCACTTGGTGTGACTGTCAGCCAGGTGGCAGGCCTGACGTGTCATCTCTGGGCATATGCAAACATCAAAAGAGCAGATGCTTTAAAGGGCGGAAAAGATTTCTTTTCCTCACCCATCACAAGGTCCCCTATAACAAAAGGCAAATTCACAAGAGGAAAGCAAACAGACTTGTTTAATGTTCGTTTCATGTGACAGGGGACCCTCTGGAAGAAATTGAAGACCCAAAGAAATAGGCAAACTTAACATATTTTTAGGCTTAGGTTTGAGGAATTGTAGATGAATAAGAATTAAGGCAAAATTCTTAATTTTGTTCAGAGTCCCTACATTTTCTTTTGCATTGCACCCCACAAGTGATACAGCCCATCTTGTCCATGAGGTCATTAGGAGGGTGACTTGAGAACCCATGAAGGGCTAATCGTGGAACTCAGGGCATAGCGGACTCCACGGTCATTAGCCAATCATGGAACTCGGAACACAGCAGAGTCCACAGTCATTAGCTGTGGAACTCAGGGTGCAGCAGGACTCCACGGTCATTAGCGGGGTACTATCGTTATTTCTTTATAAGCAGAGACAACCAAGATAAGTGCATTATAAACATTTCATGTCGTGAAAAAGCAGTGTGAGATAAACAGTTAATCTCATTTTACAGATAAACGGAAACCCAAGAAATTAAAGAGCCTGCTAAAATCTCACAGCTTGTGAATGTGGAGCTTGGATTTAGACCCAAGTCTGTCTCGCCCACAGCTGCCACTGACTTGCCCTATCAAATGCTGGCTCCTGCTCTTCTTTCCTGGGGGCCCCTCAGCAGCCCAAACCTTAACCCCACAGGGGCTCAGAGCCCCTCCACATGGTCCAGGATTCCCACCAGACCCAGGACTATGGGGTTACAGCAAACAGGAAGCACAAGTCCCCTTCTCACTCTCAGTCCTGCTGTCCTCACCCGTCCTGTCCTGTCCCAAAGCCTGTCCAGAATTCCCGGCTCAGAGTTCCACCTCTGACCAAATATGACCAGTCTGGTGAGAATTCCACTTGCTTCCTCTGGTTCCTGGAAACGTAGCTTCCATGACTAACATCTAACTGATACTCTAGGCCTACACCAGAGGGGTGGGGTCTGCTGGCATCAGGGCCTGGGAAAGGGGCTGTTGGCAAGGCCTACTCCCAGGAGTCTGAGGCCTCGGCCATCTGTCTGTGGCAGGGACACTTTCCTGCAGTGTCAGGCCCTGACTTGCTCTGTCTACCCGACCCATTCCACCACACTGCTCCGAAGCGGGCGGGGCAGGCCTGCTCCCTGTGTGTGGCCTCTGAGCAGGAAGTGGGTACATGAGCGGGAGTGTGGCATCTCTTGGATAGTGAGATTTGAATTTTGAATGTGACAATGAGACTGTTTGTTTTTTCAAAGCAATTCCCTAAGTGGCTGTTTGCTCAAGACTTTTGTGGTGTGAACAGAGATTGGGGGGAGGGGAGAAGCCATCTGTTCCAGAATAGTCTTCCAGTGACACGGCCAGATGACTCTACAGCAACCGGGAGGGGGTGGGGGGGGCACGGGCAGCAGCGTGTCCAGCCCCGGCCCAGCTCTCGGGGCATTGTGCCTATGGGGAGGGGAGGCCCACACTGTGTTTCAGGGCCAAGACCATGGTAACAGGGCGTGAGATGGTAGCAGAGAACACCAAGGCCACTGAGTGGGTGGGTGGGAGCTTCCTCATCCCCGCCTCACTAGCATGCTGTTCAAAAAAGTGAAACCATTTTGGATTTAAACGAAAAAGTGAGGCTTTGGGAGAAACTCAGTCTCTTTCCATGATGCCTTTAGCTATATGTGTGATAACAATTGATTATATCAAAGGAGAAAGTTACAGCCCTTTGTAAGTCAGATTTTATTCGCTCGTCTTTTATGACTAGATTCTGAAATCTATTTTACTTCCCTTCAGATAGGAGACGATTTTCTTGTTTTTGAAATATGGCCTGCCTCAATTTGCAAAACATCCTCGAGTCTTATTTTTGCCTCTAAACACGTGTGTGGTTTCTTCCTTTCTTTTTGCTGCCAGGCGTTCATGCAGCCACACCTGCTGGGGAACGAGTTCACACACTTGGAGTTTCCAAGGAGGGTGCAGAGAAAGGAGCTCGGGAAGAAAATGCTCTACAGGGACTTTAATATGACAGGCTGGTAAGAACATGCCCTCCTCTGCCTCGGCTCTGCCGGCGTGTGTGGCGGAGGGGCCACCACCACAGTCAGCCATTACACAACTTGGAGGGGGAGGCACAGCCAGAGACCCGGGTTTGTGGTGCAGATGAGCCCACCCCTGCTTTGGGGGCTTCCCTTAGGATCAGTTCTCAAACCACAGGGGCTGGTTCTCCCCCTTCTTCCTCTGAGACCCTCCATGAGCACACTGGACCCCATGAAGCTGACTCAAGTCCTTACCTCGCGCAGACCAAGCATTTGGGGGCTTTCAAAACACATTAAGGTTTATGCAGTTAGGCCAGAGTTAACTGAAGAGGTGAAACGGGCCAAAAGTTTATGGGCCAGACTGGCTTGGATTAGAATCTTGGCCCTGACTTTTCTAAATGAGCAAAGTTAGACAAACTCCTTAAATCCTAGAGCCCATTTTTCCAAGGATAAAGTGAAAAAAATAGGCTGGACATAGTGGCTCCCACACTCTGGGAGGCCCAGGCAGGAGGGTTCCATGAACTCAGGAGTTCAAGACCAGCCTGAGCAACAGTGAGGCCCCATCTGCACTAAAAATAGGAAAACTAGCTGAGCCTTGTGTCAGGCACTTGTAGTCCCAGCTACTTAGGAGGCTGAGGCAGGAGGACTGTTTGAGTCCAGGAGTGGAGGTTGCTATGAGCTATGATGATGCCATTGCATTCCACCCAGGGTGACAAAGTGAGATCCTGTCTCAAAAAAGAAAAAAATATGAAAAAAATGTATATATATTTTTTTGAAGACTGAAGGTATTTTCATTGATGTGTCATATTCAAACTGAAATAAGACCTCTTGGCAGAGTGTCTTACTCCCCAGACGCACCTATATAAGCACCAAGAGCATTTCTGCAGTGGATCAGTGGCTAATACTAAGGCCTCATGTGTTTTTTCTCTCTGAACAACAGAGAGAAAAGGGTGAGAAGATCTTAGCAGTGTAGGGTTGATGTGAGAACTGACAGCACATTGCTGGCACGTGGAAGTGTGGGTGACGATTTGGTCCTGCGCCCTAAGAGCCTGCCGTGAGCCTCCTGCCTGTCTGGAGATAGTGACCTCTCCCCCCTGCGCCTTCAACAAAGACAAAGAAGAGTTGTCACTGTCACTTCCTCACTGACCAAGATAGCAGGAGCAGATGGCCACGGGCCAGACCCCATGGCGATGACTTGGCTGGGGGTCTGCCCCAGGGTGTGTGTTACCTTAAAGGAGCAGAGTGAGCTACCCAGGGAAGATAAGAGGCTGATGGAGGCAACTTCCGGTTGTCCTTTGCCAACCAAGAGAATGTCCTCACCTGCACTTCTCTTCCTCTAGAATAGTGGTTCTCAACCTTCCTAATGCCACAGCCCTTTAATACAGTTCCTGTGGGTCCCTACCCACAGGTTGAGAACCGCTGCTCTAGAACAAGGCCAGTAAACTACCTTATTTGACCTGAGTCAAATTCTGTCTTCCACCTGGTTCTGTAAATAATCTCTTTTAATACAGCTATATCTTCTACCTGGTTCTGTAAATAATCCGTTTTAATATAGCTATATCTGTTTACATTTGACTGTGGCTGCCTTCCCGCTGCAACAGGGCAGTTGAGTAGTTGCAACAGAGACCATTTGGCCCACAAGCCTAAAAGATTCACTCCTGCTCAAGAACAGATTGATCAGAAGGGATTCACCATGCCTGCAGCTCTGAGTTCTGGAGTTTTAATGCTTTGGAGTTATTATCCTCACCCCAATTGGGTTTTCTTGTAAATCCATTTTTATTCAGCCAGGAAAATCAGTATTTCTTGTGAAAAAAGTTTAAGGTGAGGGCAAGTGCAATTCAGAAAAGCCTAGTGCAGTTTAGTCTGGGTTTTGCAGAATTAGGGAAAATGGGAAGGTTAGGAACCCATGCGATTGTAAACACACAAAGAGAACGTCTAAAATACAGAAAGGAGAGGCGAGAGCACAGGAAGCCGACTGGCGCAGAGGGGCTTGGGAAGGGTGTGAGGAGCCGGAGATCCTCAGATCTCCTGAGGGAGCTGAAAGGGGAGTTAGGTGAAAACAGTGCTTTTGGAAGGCTAGCCTGAGAGAAACTTTAAGGAGACTGGACTAAGAGAGAACGCAGATATTCAGGTACCCATAAAAAAAAAAACTATCAGAGAAATTGTTATGGGAGGTCTCAAGAAGTAAACAGGATGGAAATAGAAAGCAGGAGAGGAAAGGAGCGAGGAACTCAGTGATTTAAGCCAAATACAAGGGGTAAAGCCTCAGTGACCCAGTTGCCTGTGTAAATGTGTCTCCTGGCCTAATCTCTGAACTGCCTGGGAGGGACGCCAGGGCCTGCACCTGACGTGGGCTGGCAGCTACAGACTGGCAGAAAGGAACAGAGGGACACGAGGCCGGGGTGGGCAGGTCCGCGTCTGGGCAGTGGATGAGATGTGCAGAGCTTAAAACAAAGCTGTCTGATGCTCTTTCTGCAACAGAAAACAGATTAGATCTAAGAGTCAGAACAAATGTAAACATGGTGCCCAGGATTCTGTCATGAGCAAAAGCACCTTTGTTGCAGATGCTGAATGTCAGCTTATAGCACAACTTACCTTCTAACTTTGGACAGCGCTGCCAGTGAGATGGGTGGCTCCCCCTTAACCGGCAAGACCTCCCCGGCTGCCAAGTTGCCACTCACCTCTCCTCGCTGCCCAACTGCTTGGTGGGCTTAGTTCATGTCCCTCCTCCAGAACCTTGAATCTCGGCAACTCGGCTTTTTCGTTTTTTGTTTTGGTTTTGGTTTTTTCTGCAGTGGCTTGTACATTTTCCATTTAATGAATGCCTGAATATTTGCCCATTTTATAATTTTTGAAAATGTAGTTAAGTTCAGGGACTAGATTACAGCTGACTTTATACGCTGTCCTGCTCCCTACCCCTACCCCTCTCCATTAGCTTGATCTTAAACAGATAAGTAGTCCACAAATGGGCTAATTGTGTGGAGCTTCACCGAAGGTACTAAATAATTAAGGAGCCGGGACTGAGAATGGCTTCAGTCAAACCTGGTTTGCTGATTTGTTTTCAGCCTAATTCCCAACGTGGCTGTTGGGTCCCCAAGCGGCCATGAGCAGATTCATGCACACGTCTGCGCATTTCCTGGGTAGGAAACAGTTCTTTAGATTTGAAAGGGGACTTAAGGAGAAGGAAAGCACTTTCCATCTTTGTTAGAGGGACTTGGGAAGTGTAAAACCAACTGAAACTACTGCCTGTGTAAACCCCTCCCCCAAATTTAATCAGTTCTTTTAAACACTGTTTTACCCTCTGACAGAAAGCCCAGGCCTGAAAGACTTTGACAAAGTGAGCACACAGTTCGCTGACTTTCTTAGTTATCTATAGAAAGGAAAGGGCTGGAAAATTAACCCTGTCGAAAGGCGGGTAAGGATCTGGGGCCTGTTTCTTTTCCCTGCAATCACTGCCACGTTGTGAAATCAGGAGACCAAGTCACTCAAGGTCCTGGAACCAGCCGACTGGGAAACCTTTGGAATGTGTCACGCTCAGGATGCTAACAAGCCCATAGTTAGCCAAGTTTCTTGGCTTC